CTCAGGGAGCTCCACATGGTTCCCTATTGACAGCCTGAGGAAGGAGAGGAGGAGGACATGATGCACGAAGACGGCACAGACAGGGACACAATGTAAACCTTCAAAGCAAGTTTGCAAAGGGAACTTCAGACACGTCTCTACATACTGTATATAGGAAATCTATATGGACACAATATAAATAACATATGTGCAATACACACGCATCTTAATAAATACCTCATATGTGAATCTTATAATGTTGAAACTGTGGCATTGAGGTGTTGGTTCCACTGCATGGACATTTTTCAGGTCACACTCAATCAACTCTGGTATCTACCATGTTTATGTATATTTATAGACAGATGTGTATGATACATGTATATACAATATGTGGTTATGTGTATACTGTATACTTATGTGCATATTTAAATATGGAAAATTATTTCTAAGTCTACATTAGGGCTGCAACTAATTATTTTCATTAATCGATTAAACAGTTGGCAATAATGTTAAACAGGGGAAACCAGCAAATTCTCATAATAGTTCAAATGGTTCCCCAGAATGGTATTTCTTCTTGAAAAAATAAATAAAACAATAGACAAATCAATTGAAATTATCATGACAATATTATTCACTAACAGCTGACATTGGGGTCCAATAATCCCAACAGGATCACAGGAGGATCAAATGAATACTGAGTGCTTTTGTCCTCTTGGCTAAATCCGGGTTTGGTTTTACAGTCCACCTGATGACATGAGACGTTCTCATGGACCCTGACAGCACAGTTCCTGTCTGCTTCTTTGCTGGACAAGAGACACTTTTATACCAGCCAGACTCATACAGTAGGACTTCTATTCAACAAACAGCAGACACAAACAAAGAGTTCCTTCAGATTACTCTGCAATCTATGATACAGTCTACTATACAGTCTAAATCAATCCAATCCAGTCGACACTGCAGCAGGCCTGACGGCGAGACTGCATTTGACGTCAATATATTTAGAGCAACATTTAACTGCTACTTACTGCCAGCAAAGTAAAGTCATTAGATAAATGCAAAATTTCTCACAGATTTTTCCAATATGTTGCTACAGGATAGCAAGTGTTCACTGTATGAGCTATAATGTGAAAATCTTTCAGTCCACTGTCCTGCCATCAGTGGATTTGCTGCTGAGACAAGTGAGTAATTGACAAAACAACTGGGCACCAGATGTGAGACATGAGCAGAGGAACAGCACACATCAATAGCTCTGCAGTTAATATTCACAGTTTAAAAGTGCTGTAATTACCTCTCCAAACTACACACTGACATGGAAAGAGCGTGCAGACATAGAGATGACATCTTCGAAGCTTATAGATGGTGACATCACAAAAGTTACGGAGGACTTTTTTTTTACTTAAAGCTTACATTACTACAAAGGCTTCTGTAGTCATGTAATCAAGTGACTTCATTACAAAAATTCAGAATAAGGAAATAGAATAAAATGGGCAAAGTACTGTGGAAAACTGTTAGAAATTGGGTTACTTAAAAAAAAGAAGTGGTTTACGGTGTACCCAGTGGCAGTACATGAGCTGACAGAGACGTCTTAACTTTTCAAATGTTACAGATTACTTTACAATATGGATCACAGAGATTGATGTCGTTTTTTGTTCTTCTGTATCCTTCCCATTTCTTTGTCATTAAATTCTTCTTCTTCAAGCTGTGTTAAAGTTGTTGCATAATGTTTTGGCAACAGCTTGGACATAAGCAGGAACATCTTACATTCCCCACGGTAGGCAAATAGCAACAGGATGTTTGATGCAAATTATAAGAAGGGCTTATTCAAACAAGGAAGCAAAAGTGCTATGAGCTTGAATTAGTTCATAATCTGTCATGGCTGAAAATGTCCTCTCTGAGTACTGAGGGAGTGCAACACAATGTGAGGAATCTGACCTTTAAAGCTGTGTAACATTTCAAGGTCCCTTTGGAGTTGGCTGTAATCAAATCACATTGTGGTGCAACACAGGACATCAGGACCTTGATGTTTTATCTTCCAGACAAGAGAAGACAGAATACAAGAGCTCCTCGTTGCGTACACACAAACTCAAACTCTGGAGCTCACCACTTGCACACAGGTGCTACATTCCCCTGTCCACTGTGGTGCAGGCTGACAGACAGAACAAGGGCATTGGGACAACACATGTCTCACAGTACAAGACCCATTCACACAAGCCCATTCACTGGTGTTGTGTGCAAATAAAAACATGGGTATTTTTCACTCATTGTTTTCAATACACTATATATTTTACACATAATCACTGCCCAATGAAAACTATATGAAAATTTTTTTGATATTGAAGGATTCACTTAAAGGTTGGACAAATTCTTCTTCTTAAATTAAATTAACCACTAAAAAGCCCTTGCAAAAATGCATTGTCACACAACTTAAAACAGGGCTGTTTTTCACATTTGAGTTATGGATTAACACGTCAGTTCAGTGAGCTTTATTGATATGAATGTTTCATTTAAACAATGTTGCCAAAGCAGTTTGCAACAAAATCAAATAAAGTTTAGCCTACATTTAAACATGACGTAAGATTAATCCAATCATATGGAAATGATCATTTATCTTGACGTCAATGTTAATCTTAGTTCAGTAGCTGTATTCTTAAATAGTTTTCCATTTTTTCCCAGGAAAGAGTCCTAAACAACTAGCTGTTGTTAAACATACCTGGTTCCTCTCACCACACTGTAGCCTGACCTTTTCAACTGTAGGCCAAAAACAAAGCCAACACCACCACTCTACCAGGCTTTCTGTAGTATGTACCGTCTGCTGAACTTGTTGCTTTATCTAGTGACTTTGTTTTCAGAATCAGAGTCAGAATCTGACAGTAGACTCACGATTAGGATCATAAAAAGATAATCTTTATAGCCCAAAGATATTCAAACATACAAAGATATCCAGATATAATGTATATCAGTCTGAAAATCATCATGACTTCAGTGAAGTTGTCACAACCTGCCGCAGTTGGTTGCAGATTGCTCCAGGACAGACATATGGACAGAAACAGCTGAGTCACATCTTTTAAAAAATAAAACAAGAGTGGCTCTGTCCTCCTACCCCTCGCTGACATTCATGCCTTTCTTCTCTACAGTAAATTGATCTGGAGGCTGATTTGTCCATTTAAACAAGGGGACTCAGCATGTTTCTGCAGATAAGTACTGTGTGTGTTGGGAGTGAGTGCTCTATGCAGGTATCACATTGTGTCACCAGCTGTGGTCAGCAGGGGACTTAGTGCCTGGTTATACAGGGACCTCATGTGAGGAGGCCCCACAAGAATGAACAGCCCTGGATGCAGAGAGGAGCCCACAGAGAATGCCTATGCACAGGTTCCAGCATTTTGTGCTTAGCTCATGGTGGTAATTTTCTCCTGTAAACAACAACAAGCCTACAGCACAAATCTTGTTTATATATTCACAATATCATACCACACATTCCAATAACACTGTTCTTGTGTTTATTAGTGTACCACATGAAGTCTCATAAATCCCGATTTATTCTCTCATAATAATTTCAAAATCTATGCTGCCTCAGATTTTCAACTAAGGATCCTGTGTTGTAAATATTTTCAACAAGCCATTTCAGACTCATTAAAACTCATTCCTGTACCGTAAATCGTTTGGTGCTATGTCTGAATTTAGTTCAATAAATTGGTTTTGGACTGTGTTGTACTGGCCTCTTAAAACAGCACATTTCATTTACAACTGTAATACAACTTTAAAGCTGTCTCCTCCTTTACAACTGTCACAAATAAAAAACAGCCACAACAGACATAAAACCACTCTGGAAATAGGATCAAGGGAGCACGCCTGATGAGTTATGACTGAAATCCAGCTGAGCACCCACTAATTAAAACCAATGAAATGAGTGAGAACTGCAACTGAAAAAAATATGTCAGATTCGGGGTAATTAAATATGCCTTGAATTAGGCTACTTTTGAGAGAAATAAAAAAAAGCAAGAGTTTTTTTACTGTCAAGGAGTGAGAGTTAACTAAGCCCCAACTTTTAAATAAACTAGAAGATGGCATTATTCCGCAAAGCGCACAGCCTACTTGTGAGAGGACCAAGGGGCTATAAAGTTCAAGTTACCCCTCCGACCTAAATCCGAATATGCCTAAAGGCACTCGAAAGTCTGACATTTATTTGTCAGTACGAAAACAGCGAAAATGTCTTGCATGACTCAAAAAAAGCTCATCTGTGCTCACCCTTAGGGGTTCAACTCGTTGGCGCGCACCTTCCTCTCACTCGTCCTGTGAGCTGCTGGATCCCAGTTTTCATGCATTACACAGCAGTGCACCGACCCACAGGTTAGGCTCCAAAACACTGAACCAATGTGGACTGGGGAGGTCTCTCTCTCTGCGCATTTGCACAATGATCTGACGGCACTCACACCACACACACACACACACACACACACACACACACACACACACACACACACACTCAAGAAAAGGCTACTCACAGCACGCTGCTGCTGTTGATGGGAGGGAAGTTTGATTCTCCTGGCAGTGCCTCCCTCTTCCCTGCTCTTTGTGTTACCTCAATATGACATTTCTGGACTGTATTCAGCAGATCAGCCCGAGAAATTAATTTGTCGATACACTTTGATTTAATGGATTTCTTGTTTTCTCTCTCTGTGTGCCCATGTAATCTGATCAAACTGACAGACCCTATGTCAAATCAACAGTTATGTTTGCTGTGAGTATTAAAACTTGAATGACACCGTGTTTAAGTTGTAAAAATGCCAAGTAATATTGACGACCATCGTGAAGCAGACACAATCACAAATGCGAAAATTATGAATAGTTCTTTATTATGAATTATCAATAGGCTATATTGATGATGTTTTCCTGTAATCCTACAAATGATATGGGCTTGATTATATAATATAGATCATTTATTACCTAAATGTGTTAGCCAGACAATAAACATAAAAGCATTTTTTTGTCAATAGTTTACTCTGGGTAGCTTTTATTTTGAAGGAAAACAAGTTGACTAAAGCTGCAGTCAAGAGCGCATGCGTAGTGGGAAAAGCGGCACAAACAGAAAGCAGGATGAGAGAAAAGGCAACGATATGTGAGTAACAGCAACTATGTTTATTTCCTTTACCAATGTGTCATATTCCCGTTTGTGCGTAACTCTAGATGTTCAACGTTACCACATTTGTTTAACTGATTTGTTTCTGAAACGTGCAACCGGAAGTCCTAGCTAGCTAACCTGTAGCTAACTCGCAGCTAGCTAGCTCCTTAACGTTTGGCAGTTTTTCGGTGGCAGATGACAGTTTGGGTGAATGTTTAAGTTTTGTGTTTCCTCCAGAGTGAGTGTCCACCTCCGGCGCTCAGACGCTGAACTCTGAACGCAGAGAGCGCCACATGGAGGCGGTGCTGAAGAACTTGGCGAGCACGGCGGAGCTGCTGGCCGTGGCAGCGCACAGCAGTGTAGTGGAGCAGTGGGATAAACAAACTCTGTCCAGAGCTTTTCACTGGGCACAATACTGCGAACACCTGTTCTCCAGGTTTCACAATAACCCCGCGATTAGGAGGATTGTGGAGAAGCAGCTGCAGCTCACAAATCAAAGTTTACTAACTGCCTTCCCCGGATACACAGAGGTCTCCTTCTCGGACCTCTCCCGGTGTCAGCACCTGTTACTTGTTGGACTGTTGAGCAATCCTGAGCTTCCCAGCTCCATCATGAAGACACTGTTTGACACTATGAGTCCTGTAAACACCAAGCAGAGTGAATATCAGGATGTTACTGGCTTGTGCAGCCGCTTCATTCAGTGCAAATCAGCTTGTAAAATCCTGAGTCCTCTCACACTGTCAGCTGTTGGTGTTGATGCTGAGGTACAGGGGGTGATGCTGATGGAGAAGCTGGGTGATCTGCTGAGCCAAGGCAGTGAAGCCTGTCGGACAGAGCACTTTTTAGACTCTGTCCTCCAGGGATGTGAAGGAGCAGCAGAGCATTTCTGTCTGGTCATCGCTGCAGCTCTGCTGACAACAAAAAACTCAGGTGCACAAACTGCATCGCAGAATTTTCTCTTGGACTGGCTGAAGAAAAAACCCAGTGTGCTGCTGCACATGTGTTCTGCACTACCTACTACACTTCTTTTAGACCTGGCTAAAGAACACCTGAAATTCAGAGATGCTTACTATGATGTGCTGAAAACGTGGGCTTCTGATATGGAGCACAGCATAAGTGACGGTGAATGGGTTCAAACCTGTTCAGACCGAACAGTGTCCTTCCAGAGACTCACTAAGCACTTCCTGGCCTTGTTTGAGGCCTGTCCCTCTTTGAGCGAGGATGGAGAAAAAGAGCTTAATGCTTTGAAAATGTCTGATGGAGACTTTGATGTCAGAGGTCTGAGTGTTTGGGGAGACCTCCTGTCAGCATTACACAAGTGACTCAGTCAGTCTTGGAGCTTCTTCACAGCTGGAAGAGATGCCCAAAATATAGACAAATGTATATATTGATGCCTTGATACAATGTTTGACTATGGCTGGGTATTAAACATGAATACTTTATTGATACCAAACAAAATGTGTCCATAGCAGAGATTTTTTTAAGTTGTCAATGAAGGCTGGCATCAAGTGCTTGCTCGGATCTTTACTTAGGTTCAATCTTACTTTTGCTAATTTTAGTCTATTTTATTTAAGCAATGTTCTTGTATGGCTGCTTGGATTTAGACAATATTTAACATTTAAGAAGTTTGGGTTTTTTTGATAAATGAGAAAAAGGGGTGTTTTGGTATCAGTACAGAAATGCAGGTATCGTATCATATATTAATATAACTCAGGTCTTTCATCGCAAAATACACAGCGCTCACAACTTGAATGTTGTCCAGTCGTCCACAGAGGTTTCTTCTACATTTCAAATCTGACTGCGCAGACTAATACAGAATCAGAAACGCAATATAGATTATTTTACAGGATGGAAAAATAATAAAGATGTAAATTGATGACAGTATTTTAAAAAATGCTCACATTTGTAAGTTGAACTAGCGTGCGTTCTTTCACAGTAATAAAAACTTTTTATTCACTTTATCCATGCACTCTGTAAAAAACAGAAGTTAGTTATTTTTATTTCAACCTATTACAATTGGACATTTCTTAAAAATAAACATCTTAGAGAGTTTGGACAGATGGTAGCATCGCATGTTGCTTTGTAATTGGTAGCAGCACGTGACCTGACTGGATTAAGTTGAAGGTAATTGTCATGCAGTGAATAGTTCACACTTTATAAAATGGTCTCTAGAGATTCAGTGGTTCATTTAACATGATAAATTCCACCTTACTACCAAATAATTATTCATGTGCTGTTTTCATATAATTCTGTTGCAGTTGATTTGTGAAGTCCTGAAAAAAATAATATGAAATGTATTTCCACATTGTGCAGACCTGCAGAGAGAGATGGGTTTGATAAAAATTGTTTTAAAAGACAAGTCGCTATAAAGAAATTGCAGTACGCAAAAAAAGTAAAATCTTTGTGTGATCACATTCACCCTTTTCCAACTGCACACACCTAAACTCATTTTCAGCTTCTCACACACCATCTGTCATTATTGCCTTTTCACCACAAAGCTGCAGCCTGACTATCAAAACATTTTGATTGGCTAGATGCTAGTCATGTGACTCGACTGCCAATTCACATCTCAGACCTCGTCCATGTGTCGGAGCACCTCTGCGGCGAGGGATCAGTTAGTCAGATCAGACGTCTTCAATCAAACCTTCCACAATAGCTGGTGTGTGACATAACTCTGGCAGACAGCGGATTAGAGACCCGGACGCCGTGTGGAGGGAAACACCAACACTGCCACAGCTCATTTAACACACCATGAAAGCAATTCACGTAGAGACAGACAAGGGTCACTGAGTAAGAGGCAGCATGTACACAACCAATTTATTTCCAGCCAATGAATAACATATGCATCTGGCTGGATGGAAAGCAACAGCGGTGAAAGGGATTTCACCTGCTCCTGTGTTTATAAATATATGCAAATTCATTTAATTTAAGTCATGTAACTGTAGATCAGATTTGAACCAGTCGGATATTGAAGAATGTGAGAAAAGAAGACAAATAATTTGTGGGCAAATGAAGACACAGTTCGTCCTCTACATGTTACATTATCATTTAGCCACAGAACACTGCCATATTATTTTCATTTTTAGATTTTGTGTTTGTCACTCTTCTTCACAGCCTTAGACATAACTGGCAGAGTGGGAAAGAAACCATGGTGATGAGTCAGATGTGTTACTGGCTGACTCCAAATGAGAAGCCTACAAGAAAAGCAACGCACCACAATTTAGTCTGTCTATACTGGATGAAAACATGTTCACCCATTATTTCTACAGGATAAATATTACCTACATGTCTGACAGTTGATAATAAAAATGAAACTGCCATTATTGTCAATCGTACGCCAAAGCATCTTTAGTTTCCTTTGATAGGGAGCTGCATTATTTGAATATAACCAACCATTTTGCAGAGGTCCCATTATGTTGGAAGTCACCCCTCAATTGTACAGCGGTATTTACCAACCAGTTATTCAGATAAATGTGATCAAATTGCCCTTTGCTCTTAACCTGCAACGTCAAATGACAGGGTTGCGTTATTGTATCACTTCAAACAGCGGGAAGTCGACAGAGCCTCGTGATATGTCTACCACCAGCACACTTTAAATGTGGGATGTCAGCCTGGAGACATCTCTTAATCTGCTAACAGAAGTTAACAGCTAATCTCTCGAACGATGAATTTAGGATTCCTCCAAGTTAGGAAATATCATATTTGGGTGTGAAGTGACAAATGTACAGTATTTCCTCCTCTCACATCTTATCCCTCTCTTGTTTTTTATTCTATCCAGTGTTTTATTTTTCTCTGTCAGCATGGGGTAACAAGCCGCAGTGAGACGCGCTGAGGGCGACTGTTGTTCTGCGGCTCGTAAAGGGCCGTGAAGGATAGCATTCATTAAAACTCGGATCCAGCCCCCATCTGGTGGTGTGAATAGGGAGAGGGGCGGGGTGTAGTGGGGTGTGTGTGTGTGTGTGTGTGTGGGGGGGGGGGGGGGGGGTAGAGCCCTCCCTCGGCACGTGCCTAAGCCGCTCCAGCCTGGCCCTTGTCTGGCCTCGGTGACGGATCACAGAGGCAGGGGGGCCCCTCCGCACACCTGTGACCCACTCTGAGGATGCTGATGATCAGTTGCCTCCATCATCAGGCACGCGCCGAGGAAGAGGGACTGAGGCTTTAATTTGGTTTTTCACAAGTGAAGCTGTGAGGAGGAGGTGGATGTTTTCATATGAAATGCTGAAAGAAATTCACATCGTCCTTTCCAGGACATCTCATGAAAACTGCACTGTCAGACACTCCAGGGAGGTGCTGTGTTTGCACAAACACTGCTGTATTTTGGCACATGAGGAGGGGGTTGATATGTAGGGGGGAAATCCAGTGACTACTGAAAATAGTTGTAAAATCAAAAAGAACAAAAGAAAGTAGAGCTGCAACAATTAATCGGTTAGTCGATCAACAGAAAGTTAATCAGCAACCATTTTGATAATTTAAGTTATAAAAAAAAATTGAACATTTGCTTGTTTAAGCTTCTCAAATGTGACAATTCACTGTTTTTCCTTCCCTTTACATATTCAATTAAATGTTATTGGGTTTTGACCTGTTTGTCGGACAAAAAGGAAACTGCGGTGAGCATTTTCTGATGTTACATAGACCAAAACGATTAATTGATTTATTCAGAAACTAATTGGCAGATGAGCAAACAAATAATCGTTAGCTGCTGCCCTAAAATAAAGATCTATTTAAGTTGCAGTTATTTTATGATTATGGCATTTTTAATGTGAAATAAAATGATTGCAATATAAGCTGTAAAATATTTCCCCTTATTATCTGTAAATTGTTTCCTCATTGTATAAGACAGATTCCAAAGCACTGCAGCAATAAGAATATCGTGTACAATCTTATCAGCCTCTCACCCTTTGTCTGTGTGTGATATGAGCATGATGTGAGCATGTTGAAGAGAGGAGGGTATGAAGCCGTCAAGGTAGTGTGAGAAGGGGGGAGGGGAACTAGAAGGACCTGTGAAAGATTACCTCACATGCAACTGTAATAAACCAGTTCTGTGGAGGAAAAACAATTGGATGTAGCAATCTCCTCGCTTTTCCTCTGATCTTGGAAGATACAATTCTCCTTCCGCATATCCAGGTCTGTAAATGTAATTCTTAAGGCATCACTGTTCCCTGCTGCATTACTATGGGCAGTCGTTGTTGCTTTTGGGAGCTAAACAAGATTGATATGTTTTACAGTGGACGCTATATTTGCATATCACAAAAGGGAAAGTTTTTGCATTTCATCATGAGTATCTTTAACAGAAGCTCATTGCAAAAAGAAACACATAGGGGAGATTCAGAAAACGTTTTGGAAACAGCAGTCTTTAAAATGAATATTTGCTTTAGTTTGTGTACAACATTTTATTACGGGTGAGACAGACTGATTTGGGGTGCCAAGCTCTCCATTAATAAAGCAATTAGCAAGGGAGGAGAAGGAGGCGTTTGTAAATTGAATTTCCTGGAGGAAGTGTAATGTCATGCTGGGGGGTGTCATAAAACAGTAATTACTCTAATACTGCTTTGAATATTTTGGTTATAATGACCTGATCTTTTAGCATAGGTGAGAGATGAATTTTTAGGATATTCGAGCAGCACTGTGGAGAGATCAGGCTGCAGACCAGAGAAGAGAGAAGGGATCAGGAGGATAATTGCATGCAGGCAGAGCCCCAGGGGAGGAGTGCAACCCCGTCATCAAACACTCATTCTGGCTGGGCCTCATCCCATTACAGTCCCCCAGGAGCAAAACTGCACCTGCCCCACAGACTGACAACTACTCAATCCCCCTTCACTCAATCTCATGATTACACAACCACACAAACGGCACCAACAACATCAACATGACTTAGTCTGAGAAGCTGCAAAAACACACAGGCTGGAGGTGAGAGGCAGGTGAACGCTGGGAGAATTTCCACCTATGGCTGAAATGTTGACACCAGATTTTTGTCCAATTACCGCGCGCCCCAACGGGCACGTCACTGGTGCAACAGCCATGACCTCTCTGGCTGGTTAGGCATGAGAAAACATGTTCCATGTGGCTGGTGACACAATTGTGTTTTCTGTCAAATTAACATGTGCACCGAAGAAGCAGGCGGCGGTGAGCGTTAATGGTTTCTCTCCTCAGCCGGGCAGATAATCGGAGGAGATTTATTGTAATTGCTGCCACTACTGCTACTGTAAGTGTTTCAGACATGGAGCTGCTTCCTGTGATCGAAGCATCCGTCAACACAGAACAAGACTACTGTGGACTGAACACTGCCCCTGCACATTATATTGAGTCAGACTGTCCATCATGTGCGTAGAAAAACTGATGGTCAACAACCTAACCCCCACCCCCACAAACTTCATACCTGTCTATCATTTCTTCTTTGGTGAGAGGGAAGTTTCGAAGGATTTATCCACATATTCACCCTGTTCTATAGTTAGAGGAAGGTGGAAAACCTACCACATTTAATGGCTACCAGGTCAAATTGTCAACATGCGTAATGAGGACCTTCAAGAAGCAGGTCAGACCTCTGATGATGGACTCACACATCAGAGGATGTTGCTCCCATATTATGTATCCGCTCCATGTAACTCATTCCCACGTGCAGTGGCTCAAAGGCACAGTCAGTAGGATTCCCCTGTCTTTCATATGTCCAGAGTTTTACACGCCATTGAATTCATCCTGCTGCAGGGAGAAGCTCAGAGTGATGCATGTGAATGGATGGACTAAATGTTTTGCTGAATTATTTACAACCTCATTGATAGGCTGCAGTGAGGTTGTTCGCTCTCCAAAACACACTGGACACACTGCAAGGCAGCACAGAGGTACCGCTGAAGGGATATTACCTTTCTTGCTCACTCTGTACACCTGTGATTTCAGATTTAACTGTGTGTCATAAGATATCTGTTCTTTCATTACTCCCTGGATGTGGGGTTCAATGGTGTG